CTTTAACATTTTGCGGTCCGTCAACGGCATGGTACCGTCGTACGCATTTCGACGTTGCAGTTCGTCGACGGCACTGTGCCGTCGCGATCTGACAAAATTGTTTTAACGATAAATCAAAACATATGCGGTTTTAAGCAATTGGCAACATGCGAAATAGGTGAATAGCGATTCGTTGCCATGTTAAAACAAGTTACGATCGATCCAAGTGTTAGAATTATTTTTTCGGAGCTAGTCTTTCGATTCTAGTCGATCGACAGATCTTAGCAGTGTAAACGCTATTGTAAGCTGAGAAAAAGCAAAAAATGTTATCTAACACAGATTTTTCTTCAGATAAAGAAATTCAAGAAGTAAAAGGTAAATACGCTTCTTACAATCAGTCATTAGTTTATTATTCATCAATCGTACATGTGTTCTCTAATTGTAATTGTTGATTTATCTACTGGTTGATTTCGTATTATGACGTATTTACATTATTTTGATTCACATTATATGGTCATAAATGATGTATTATCGATATTTCGTCGACGTATCGTGAGACGAATCTCGTCAGAATCATCAAACGATAAGAATATTAATTTATATCCGCGGAGAAAAAAAATGTTTGCATGCGCTTGTAAACGAAAAGAGAAGTATGTTTTCTATTCTTTTATTAATCTCCTTGATATAATTTATGCGCGTAAAAAATCGATTATATCTAAGTTTGACTTTTTTCCAGCTCAAAATAGATCATGATTTTGATGATCTCAGAAAGCTTTTATAGAAAAGTTAACTTTATGGTATTTAAGAATAGAGAAAAAAATGATCTTCACGATAAAAATGTTTTGAATACGCTAAGTTAAATAATTTTTTAGATATCAACATTTGTGTAAGAAGAAAATTAACCAAATAAGCGCGGATACTTTCGTATTATGCCTTCGAGACGTTCAAACACATTAATCAAGCGTCTTCGGGTGGGCCGCGGACCGCAAAGTGTTAAATCGAGTCGAAATGGCTGTGTCAAGCCTCTACTCTTTGCTCTCCAAGCTGAGGTCATGCAAAATCTACCCATTTACTTTTCATACTATCTACCTTTTGAATTATCCCTGATATATGTTGCGACCGGATTTCTAGATTCGGCTCGTCCGAATCGCCGGTGCAAAGACCGCCGGGCGAATCTGGAACGCGAGGGTCGATTTCGGGTCGCTAATTACCTCACCAAGATATGGGCGCCAAGTATGCACAAGCCGCACCCACGAAGAAAAACCTAAGGAAATCGACGACGCGCTTCGTATCAGATGCGTCGTTCTCGCGACCCCGGGTTCGTCCAGAACCAGCAGCTCTCGGGAATTTTCGGAAGCGGGGTGGTTTTCGTGGGCCACGTCGGGAAACGACAACAAAATAAAAAAGACTAGCGGCTTCGATAATATAATGCAGGCCTTTATTTGGTTTAGCTTCCACGACAACAAAGCAAGTAAAAGGCGCTCAACGGTAGCGCTTCGCAGTTCGCGTTCGTATTTTCGGCACGCGACGGACTAGCGAGATCCGTCGTTAGGGTGGCTTGCCCTTCGAGCGGCAGCCAAGCCAAGGTGGAAAGGACGGCACGACACGCTCCCCCCGGGGAGGGGGGGGAGCGATCCACCGGTACAACCCCGACGCAGCCACCGACGAATCGTATTTTAATTTGGGGTTATCGCCTTCTTCCCCAAGTCCGTCGGGAAGACTGCACGGCGGTTGACCAAACGGACGACCCACGCGATACGCGACAACGGTGAATGCGGATGGGCGGCTTTACAAGTTCGGGTTCCCGGCGACTGGCTCCTGGAGATGCTCGTCCATTCTGCGATGCGCGTCTTTCTTTCTCTCTCTCTTTCTCAGGCCCTCTCCTCGGCTCTGCTCACTCGCTCACTCTCTCGACAGCACCAACACGCTCTCGCCTCCAACTGCCGTTCGCCACGCGTCCGGAAGAAGTTTTATCTCTCTCTCTCTTTCTCTCTCTCTCTCTCTTTTTTTCACCCGTCACATTAACTTCTACTTTACCGTTCGCCAAGCACTAAAACTCCTTTCTTGAGACGACAATCTGCTTCAGCCGAAGAGTCTGCTGATTTTTAACAGATCAACCCCACTCCTTCGTGGCTCCGAAATCCGCTCTCCTGCGACAGCCGGATTTTTGCCCACTGTTACCAATATTCTTCCTTGGCCAGCCGGCTTTGGCGTTGTGAAGTAGGCGGCCGACGACAGCCTAGGAAGTGCCGGCAGCATTTCTTTGTCAGCAAACAGAAAAAAAAAACAAACGAATAACCCGGGAGTTCGTCCTGGTAATCGGGCGGTCTCCTCGCCTTTATCTGGTGGTCGGTGATGGATCGTCCTCCACGCCTTCTTCTCGCCGCCATCCGGAACGGGGCGCTACACAAGAGGGGTCGTGGGGCTCGCCTCCAACATACCCGAGCGCCCGAATCGCGCGGTCTTCGCTACACAAACAAAAAAACTCGCCGTCTCGGTTTGGCGCTCGCGAGGAGCGCACCTTTCCACCCGCGGTAGAGCCTCCGCTGAGGCATTCGCCCCCTTGTGACGGGCGCAGTCGGCCGCCACGTCACAAAGTGTATGAATATTCATTGATAGATACTTCCAATTAACAGTGTAATTTTATTCTTATTGAGTTTAAGCAACAAAAATTTGTAAAAAGCGAAGTTTTCAATTAATAGCTGTTTCTCTTATGCGACCCGGGCCCCGTCGATCAGTGGACGTTCGTCCCGCCTCTGCCGGCGGAGTGGTCGTTGCTGGTGTCGCTGGTCGACCGTATTCGGTGTCGGTGGCCCTGGCGTTGCTCGCCGGGTGTCCAGGCATCTTGTAGTGAGAGTGTGCGTGTGTGTGTGTATGGACAAGTGAGTGAGTGAGCGAACAAGCGAGCGAACTAGTGTTTAAATATCACGCCCTTTATTCATTTATGTGATCTTGATGTTTTGGTACAGATTTAACAGTGATAGGCCGTGCTTTGCTTCTGCTTTTTAACGCCGGCAAATATTGCGATGACAGTGTCGGCGACGGAACCCGAGCTTATATTGCGGTCGTGTATTGATGGCTCGCTCGGTGTTTCGGCGGATCGGTGTTTCCCGGAATTTATCGAGAGCAGACGCGTCGCTCGCTGCGAGGATCCCGCGGTGTCAGCGGAGAGCGCGCGCGGTATTATTGTCTCGGCGTGTTGACGTCTCGCGGACTTTAACTTCGACGGTCTCGCATCGGAGTGCAACGGCGGAATGCACCTGCTCGACTCGGCGTCGCGGTACGCGGTTCGCGGTGGTTGCCGCACGCGGAGTGCCCGCATCGGTCGACTCCCGGAGCGGAGGATACGCGGTATGATGCCTCCTTACAGGAACGGTGGAGTCGGCCGGGCGAGCCTAGCCAACGTGCAGCCGGCGGCGGTCGGTTCGCGGTTCGCGGCGGTCGGTGGTATCTCCGGTGAAATGCGGCGGAGAGACACGCGTTGTCTCTAAGTACGCGGCGCGGTACGCGGAACGGTATTCCGGGGCGTTCGCATGCCCCGGAGACGCAAAGCCCAACGACTAGAGTGGAGTGGCCGAGGTTGAGAACGCTCAACAGAGGCGGCGAACACACCACCCCGACTCGTGCCGATCCCCAAGTCTGCCACGGGCAAGAAGGCCGGGAGCTCCCGGTGGAGACGGCGAACACACCGTCCCGAAATGGATGTTGTTGTGAATCCGGTGCCCGCTTCCACGGTAAAGACCGCGTACGCACGACCTCGGACTTTCCGGATGACAGGATGTCGAGTCGGCTGCGAACTCACAGCAGCGACGGCGTACGCACCGTCGCGGTCCCTCGACCTGGGAATGGGATCCGGAGTAACTTGTGATCTTGCGATCTCGGCTGACTCCGGCGGAATCTGGTCCCGATAGCACGGCGGAGCGGCCTTTTATACCGCGTTTTCGCGGATTTTCCGACACGTGCTTGACAACAACAACAAACGTTGTTGCTTACGTGTGCACGTGTCAGTTGCGTGCTTCGAGTGTGAATTTGTTTGTTGGCGCTGAGCGCCGTTTTGCGGCCGACGGATGATCGCGGTGTTCGCCGGGGGAGATGCATCGTTACACTTTTTCAAATTTTATTGTTTTTTTGCTGAAACGTTTTCGATTCAAAAATCTACAATCTTTGATACTACTTTTCAGATGTTTAGGTCATAAGATCTTTATCCAAAGAAGAACAAGTTATTTTTGCAATTTTATCAGATTTCTATTTTAATTAGAATGCGTGAAAAAAGCGATATTTTAAATACTACTTTTCCGACGATATCGTGTGTTGTTTTCTAAAGTCATGTCACTAGTTCAAGAAAATTTTGGTGTTTTAGAATATAAATGGTGTTTTAGAATATATACTTATTGCCTGCAAAAAGAGGTGAAAAAATATTTAATTCGAATATGGGAGCATAAGGCACTGAATGTAAAGGCATATAATTAATTTGCACACTTAATAGATAATAAAAACTTATTTTTCTTTCAAAATATGGAAACAATCTATCAAAATTTCATTAAAAAATTGGCGAAAGATATTTTAATTTTAGATAATTTGATCAGAAGAATAATGATACAATGAGACTCTTTCTGAATTCAATATTTGTGTAATATTAGGTTGGAAACAATGAAACGGGCGTTGAATAGAAATAAAAATGAAAAAGCACTATTTTTCACATTATTTATTATTTTTAGTCGAAATAATTTCCATTGGCATCTTCGACTTTCTGCCAACGATTGGGCAAGTCATAAATGCTTTTTTTAAAAAAATCTTCATTTTTAGAGTTAATAAACAATTCAAAGTCTTTTATAATATCGTTTTGGTTATTGTATTTTTTTTCTTAAAAATAATTCATAATTACGAAAAAGGTAATAATTGGTCGGTGAGATGTCTGGTGAATATAGAGGATGTGGTAAAAGTTCATATTTTAGAGAATTTAACTTGTCAACAGTGATTGAAGCTTTATGTAGTCTTGCGTTATTTTGCAGTAATATTACGCCGTGCCGCTTGAGCAATGCTGGTTGTTTTTTCACAAGTTTTTTATGCATGACATCAATTTCACGGCAATAGGACTCCGCTGTTATTGTTTTGCCTGGTTGTAGGAAGGAATAATGGATCACTCCTTTGGCATTCCACCACATGGTAACCATAATCTTTTTTTGATGGAATTTCGGCTTAGGGGTATGTTCTGGCGGTGTATTCTTATCTACCCATTTGCTTGATCGTTTTCGATTGTCGTACAAAATCCACTTTTCATCACAAGTTATGATTTGGTGTAAAAACGGCAATCGTGTATTGCGAATCAACAAAGATGCGCACTTACTCTTGTGGTCGACCATCTGCAGTTCCGTCAGTTCATACGGTACATATGAGTCCAATTTTTTTACTTTGTTTATTGCACGCAGATGTTTCAACACAGCCGTATGGCTAGTTCCTAGCTTAGTCCCAATTTTACGAATAGTTGTGTCTGGATCGGATTTCACAGCCGTCCTTAATTCCTTGTTATCAATATGGACCGGTGGTCTTCCTCGAGGCTCGTTGACGATGCTCAAATTGCCAGAACAAAATTTTTGGAAACAATATCGAGCATTTCTTTCATTGGTGGATCCATCTCCGAAAGCTTGATTAATGTTTCTCGAAGCTTGAGGTACACTATGATTTAATTTGTACTTATACAAAAAATTGATGTAAATCGCGTTGTGTTTCCATCTGGTTTGTGAGGAATTTAAAATAAAAATGGAACACAAACATGAAAAAATTTTACAAAATGTGTAAGAAGAATACCTTTAAAATTTATAAATAAAAATATCGAACGCACGTTGTAATGAACCTCTCTCAGTTGCAGTTGAACACAGACTAATCAAAAACGCCCGTTTCATAATTTCCAACCTAATATTTACAAGAAATGTGTAATGTGTAAAAAGCTATATCTTTTATATATTTATATGAAATGAAATGACTAGCTGTTGGAAAATGATAAATATTTGTCAATTTCCCATTTGATATACCTTCTAATCACCGTTATCAATATACTCGGTCACATGTGCGTTTATTGTGCTGTGGGTGACATTTTAACATCACACGTAAGTATCAAATCTTTTATTAAGAAGCGATATGTTCATGAACAATCAACATTATAATACAATATTTTTAAAAATTAAAAGTATTGAATTTAAAATTGAAATTTATTAAAAATTTACTGACATATACAGGGTGGCCCATTTTAATTTAACCACTTAAATAACTCACTGGAAATGACCCAAATCAAAAAAAGTTTTGTGGCAAAAATCCTATTTTTGGGGGGAAATTGAATGGTGACCTTGAATTTGACCTTGAAGTCGATTTTCAATGTTATTTCAAGGTCAACTTCATTTTTTTTAATAGGAACCCCTATTTTTGACCCCAGATTCTGATAGTGCTTGAAATTCTGCGTTCAACCATATGAATTTTAATAGGGGTCAAATGTCATTTCAAGGTCATTTCAAGGTCAAAACTTCAAAATAACAGAATTTTTAAGGTTTTTTAAGGTAAAGTATATTTTTCAGCCATATGCGTCATGCTAAGGGTCAAAAGTCATTTCACGGTCAAATAGTCGATGGGGTGCTTGTTTAGCGTGAGTCCTTTTGCCACTCACGATGGGGTGCTTGTTTAGCGTGAGTCCCCTTGCCACTCAATTTTTGTTACCTTTATAACTGTTAACCACGAAGTAAGTGTGTAAAATTACCACCATTAGCTTCAAAGCACAAATTCAATTGTCTATGAAAATTTGGCACAGTTCTTAATAAAGTTTCTCTTGGAATCGTTTCACAAGCTTGACGAATACGGTTTTCCATATCTGCTCTAGTTGTGGGCTGTTCTGAAAATACTGCATTTTTAATGTAACCTCATAAATAAAAATCAGGAGAAGTTTAAGTCTGGTGAGCGAGGTAGCCAGTTAACTGGACCTCCTCGTCCAATCCATCTTTCATTAAAATGGTTATTTAAAAACTGACGAACAATTAATGCAAAGTGAAGTCCTGCACCATCTTGTTGCCATTACATTATTATTCTGGTTGCTAAATCAACATTTTCCAACAGCCCTGGCAATCGATCTCGAGGCAATTCTAAATAACTGTTTCTATTAACATTACTCTCGAAAAAATAAGGTCCAACTAAGTAGCCATTTATTATGCCACACCACACCATAAGGCTCCATCTATTCTGATGATCTACAGCTTTGTACCAGTGCAGATTTTCATCTGACCAGTAATGGCAATTATGCCTATTAAGTTATCCATAACTGTAAAATTTAGCCTCATCAGAAAAAAGCACATACCTGAAAAAGTCAGGATCTTATTGTATCCTTGCTAAAGCCCAGTGGCAAAAGTCAATTAGCATTTGAATATGGTTTGGCCTTAATTCTTGAACCAAAGTTATGTGATATGCATGGTATCTTAAATTTCTAAGAATTCTTAAAGCAGTACTTTGTGGAGTACCGATTTCCCTTTCAATTGTGCGACTGCTGATTTCACGATCAAGATGTACAGCTGCTAAGACTGTCAAAACGCGAGCATTATTTTCATCGTATTCGTGATGTCTGCGCTAACGGTTAAGGTGTCCACCACGAGCTCTAATAGTTAACGCACGTATTGTCACATGACTGGAATGACGCCTTAAAGGAAATCGATCAGCGTACCACCGTGCTGCTGACCGGTAATTGTTCTGGCATTCGCCTAAAACCATCACCACATCAATAATGTGATTAGCAGAATAATCAGCAATAATAATAATATTTGTCCTAGAGAGCACTATTTTACTTCATTTTTTTCTGTACTTTAATAAAACTGATATTAAAAAAATTTAACTTAGATTTAAAATTTCTGAAATAATGTTAGTTACAGTAAATTAAATGCAGAGGTCGCAAATTTTAACTTAAATTAAAAATTTCTGAAATAATTTTAGTTGCAGTAAATTAAATGCTGAAATCGCTGATTTCTATAGAGGACTCACGATAAACAAGCACCCTGATGAAAACAAAGTTCTGCCACGTTAAAATCGTTATTCCTGGGGAACGCTGACAAGAAAAAAATTTTCACCATGCAATATCGTCAATTGAAGTCAAAATTATGTTTATAATCAGCATTTATTTATAATTTTTTTTTTTTACTTTTTGAACTTGAGTGACCTAGACCTTTGAATCGAAAGGTCAAAGTAACCATCAAAATCAAGATCCAAGGTAAACGCTCCTCCCTATGATTCAAAAACTACCAACACCACGCTTTGTAATCCTTATGATGATTTTTGAAAAAAGAACCTTAAAAATTTTATTATTTTGACCTTTGACTTTGAAGTAACTTCGACTTTGGGCTCCAGAGTCAAGTTTAAGGTCACGACTAATTTTTTTTCAAACTAAGATAGATAAATCTTAAATGTCACACAACCTGAAGCTAAAATTAAATAAAAAACCTTAAAAAATGTAGTTTTTCGACTATTTGACCGTGAAATGACTTTTGACTCTTAGCATGACGCATATGGCTGAAAAATATATTTTACCTTAAAAAACTTTAGAAATGCTGTTATTTTGACGTTTTGACCTTGAAATGACCTTGAAATGACATTTGACCTTTATTAAAATTCATATGGTTGAACGCAGAATTTCAAGCACTATCAGAATCTGGGGTCAAAAATAGTGATTCCTATTTTAAAAAATGAAGTTGACCTTGAAATAACCTTGAAAATCGACTTCAAGGTCAAATTCAAGGTCACCATTCAATTTCCCCCCAAAAAATAGGAAACTTTTGTCCCGAAACTTTTTTTGATTTGTGTCATTCCCAGTGAGTTATTTAAGTGGTTAAATTAAAATGGGCCATTCTGTATATAAAAAAAATTTATATAAATAAATTATCATGATTTTAATCATAAGTACATCACGTTTATCACGAGTATATGCTGCATTTAAATATAATGACAAAAACAGTTATTAAATACTTTTATAAATTTTTAATGGTTTCAAGTGCAGTGAGATACATTACGCTGCGTATTCTAATGAATGGTACACTCGAAATCCAAAAACTGTACGAAGCATAGTTCTGCTAATGGTTAGGACCAACGAACCTGTTTGCTTAACTGCTGGTAAAATATTCCCTTTAACAATAACTACATTTTGCAACGTAAGTCAATATAATTTTTACTGATAGTTTTATATAAATGTGGAATTCTATATTCACACCCTCACACACACACGCGCGCGCGCGCACAAACGCAGTGGGTGCCTCATTTTAATCCATCACCCCCTTTTATCAATATAAAGTGAGTAAAAAATAAAGATTTCAAAAAGGTTGGATTTTTGCTCAAAAAATCCAAGTAATAAGAATAATGTTATTTGTCTTTTTTATATACGTTAAAGTTATTAAAAAGTTCGTGATGTTTTGAAAACATTTTGAAAATTGAACAATATGATGGTGTATTTACCAGGTGTAGAAGTATGAAACCGGAATTTTCCTATAGATGGTGCTAGCCATCAGTTTAGGGACCGTAAAACCGCTTATGCAGCGCCATCATCTCCCTCTAACAGCTGACGAAGATTTTCAATACACAACAACCCAAGTTCCATACACCGATATATTTTTCTATAACCTTAAACATATCGAGTTTTGTGCCTACGAACTACGATTTGCGGATAGCATTGGTTTTTTGTTATCATTTGAAGAAAACTGCTGCGCATCGAATGCTTGTCGAAGCTTACGGTGAACGTGGTCTTGGTAAAACACAGTGTTTCGAGTGGTTAAAAAAATTCAAAAGTGGTGATTTTGACGTGAGAAACGAAGAGCGTGGGAAACCACAGAAAAAGTTCGCAGACAACGAATTGCAAGCCTTATTAGATGAAAATGATACTCAAACTCAACAAGAACTCGAGGATGAATTGAATGTGACGCAGAAAGCTGTCTCAATTCGTTTGAAAGCCATGGGAAAGATTCAGAAAGTGGAAAAATGGGTTCCGCATGAACTGAATGAAAGACAGCAAGAAAATCGAAAAACCACTTGTGAAATGCTGCTCGACAGATACAAAAGAATGTCCATCGTATCATGACAGGTGATGAAAAATGGATATATTTTGAGAATCCTAAGCGTCAGAAATCATGGGTGAATCCAGGTGAACCATCGACATCCACTGCAATCGCTTTGGAAAGAAGACAATGCTCTGTGTTTGGTGGGATCAGAAGAGTGTAATCTATTATGAGCTGCTAAAACCTGATGAAACAGTTAATACTGATCGCTACCAACAGCAAATGATCGATTTAAATCGAGCATTGCGTGAAAAACGACCGGAATATGGAAAAAAGCAACACAAAGTCATTTTGCTCCATGATAATGCCCCATCACACACAGCAAAACGGGTCAGGGAAACGATCGAGACGTTCAGTTGGGAAATACTAAGCATGCGGCTTATTCTCCAGACTTGAATCCGTCCGATTATTATCTATTTGCATCAATGGGACACGCTCTCGCTGAACAACGCTTCAATTCGTATGAAAATATACGAAAATGGCTCGATAGCTGGTTCGTTTCAAAAGAAGAAATGTTTTTTTGGCGTGGCATTCATAAATTGCCGGAGAGGTGGGAAAAATGTACAAATAGCAATGCACATTATTTTGAAAATATATTTTATCATTTTCAAAAAACGGACGTGTAATTTTTAGAAAAAATATTCCGGTTTCAAACTTCTACACCTGGTATAGAAATTTGGATGATGTATAGAGCTTATTTAAAACGCACATTTATGAGTTTTTTTAATGGTGAAAGGAACGTGGGAAGGAAGATTGTGCGTGATTAAAAGGGTAATTAGTCCAGCGGGAAAATCGGTATTTTATTCATATTTGGCAAGTATTCGGTATGGAATATATGTTGTCTGAAAAAAAATGTGTCCTATTTGCATAATTAACAAAGTTATAACCTAGTTTGATCAGGTAGGGAGCGTTTTCCGGCACACGCTCGTCGGTCGGCCGCGTGGCGTACAATAAAGCATTGTATTTATATGCGCCTTAAGGTTCGAATAACCGTTATTCTTGGGAGGCCGTTCATTTTACGGTTTTTCTAAAGTACGCCCGGTTTTTAACCGCCTATGAAGCAGAATTTGCTTTCTCGTGTCAAAGTACAATGTGGCTTTGCTTTCTCCAGTCAAAGTACAGTGTGGCTTGAGGCAAGCGAATATAAGCTAAGTTACTCGTTAATTTACACGCTAAAAAATTTTGAAAATTGATGACAAGATATGAAAAACACTCGAGTTTATGCGTATAGTAAAAAAACGGCATTTTCGTGGCAACCATTATATAACTTAACTTAGCAGGATTCAAAATTTACAAGTACGTTGGCAAAAGAACTGCAAAGCTCGAAAGATATCGACTTCCTTATTTCGAAAGAATTTGGTTATTGCATTTTGTGTTTTTAGCAGTTTTTTTCAACAATTGCATCTCTTGTCATTTGCAAAAATTACAAAAATAATATTCTCCCGAATATTCTTCTGACGTCAAAATAACAAACGAATCTTTAAATTTATTGATTTGTACACATGTTCCAAAACATTTTATTAAAGAGCAAATATTGTTGAAATAACTTTTCTATCATTTATTATCTTCAATGAAGAATACACCAGGTGTATGCATAAGTTTTTTCCGGTTTTTTGGTAAAAAAAAAAACACCTAATTTTCAAGCGAAATTAATTTTTTTTTATTCAAAATATTGGCAATCGGATTCTACACATTTCGCCCATCTTTCAGGTAATTTATGAATACTATGCAAGAAAAACTGCTTGTCTTTTGCGGCAAACCATTCGTCGAGCCATTTTACAACTTTCTCGAAATTGCTGAAGTGCTGCTCTGCGAGCGCGTGCCCCATTGATGCGAAGAGGTGATAGATGGCGCCAGGTCTGGGGAGTACGGCGGGTGCGGAAGGATGTCCCATCCAAGCGATTTCAAGGTGTCTTTCACTGGTTTTGTTGTGTGAGACGGCGCATTGTCGTGTAACAAAATCACTTTGCCATGTCTTCTGGCCCATTCCGGTCGTCTTTCGATTAATGCGTGGTTTAAATTAATTGTTGGCAATAGCGTTGTGTATTAACGATTTCGCCGGGCTTCAAGAGTTCATAATACACAATACCGCTCTGGTCCTACCAGACACAGAGCATAGTCTTCTTGCCGAAGTNTGATTAAATAAGAAAAGCAATGCGTGCCGCAAATGTTCTTTTTCAGGCACAAAACTCGACATGATCACTGAACGATAAAACAAAGACGCTAGTTTTTGGCGGACTCAACTTGTGTGTGTTTGTAGTTTTAAATATCAGATGAACAAAATGACGTATGTGTCAAATTAATACGCTGCTTACTTTTCGCTGGCGCCATCTCGTAGTTAAACCGGAAAAAACTTGTGCATACATCTGGTATATCAATTTTGAAAATTATGAACGCGATATAAGTGTCTATTGGTCGACAAGCGGAGATGTATGCAAATTCCCGAAACGAAGCTCATATCACCCGCTCGGAGTGGCGCTCAACTGACAACTGACAGCTGACTCGTTTAAGATGAGAGAATAAATCATAGTGAAGACAAAGCAGCTCTGCGAGACATCTATGAGCACGTGGAAGATTCCCTGTACGATCTGAATAATCGTAAGTTAAATTATCTTTATGTAATCAGTCCGAAAATCTTTAAGCGCGTTTTTTTCAAAACCACATTTTACAAATTAACTTTCATGATATCTCGAAGGTGTATTTAAACGTTTTAAAAAAATTCTAATTAAATGATATCTGAAACAATTAATATTCTTTCTTTTAGATCGTCTATATTTCTAGGTTTTGTTTCATAGACTTTACTTTTTAGATATCCCCAGTAGAAAAGTCTATCGGACTTAGATCAAGAGATCTTGGCAGCCATTCTATAGTACTTCTTTCATCAATCAATCGACCAACAAATGTTTCATGTAGAAAATGACAAACATTTAAACCGAAATGAAATGCAGTTTCATCTTGTTGAAACCTAACATGTTCAATAGTATCTCCAACGGTGTCTCAGATAGCTGGTACCTCTCGGTTCTGCAACAAATTCAAATAAATTTCTGCTTTCAAATTCCCGTAGAGAAAAAATGGTTCTATAACACAATTAGAGAATATCCCGACCTAAACATTAATTTTCTGGAGATACTGCGTGTGACAGTCTCTCACCTAGTGAGGATTTTCATTAGTCCAGTACCTCATGTCATGTTAATTAACTGATTCTTTTAATTCAAAGGTAGCTTCTTCGGAGAAACAAATCCAAGTAAAGAATTGTTTATTATCATCGAATCGTGTCATCATCGTACCACATAATTCAATTCTCCTGTCAAAGTCGTCTTCGGACAGCTCCTGCACCGAATGCATTTTACACGGGTGGTACTTATGTTCCAGTAGAATTCTACGAACCGATGTTACACTTATTTCAATTTGTTGAGATAATTTTATATGCGTTATATGAGAGTTTTTCTTTTGTGCTTAGCAAAACCTCTAGAGCATTATCATTATTGATGGCGTCCTTAAGTCTTCCAGATTTTGATTCGTTTTTAATTGATCCAGTCCTTTCAAGACGATCATCAATTCGATAATCAAATGCTTTTGAAATTGGAAGACTATCAACATACGTACTGTTAAATAAATTGGTTACTTTTTGATTAGACCTAATTCTATCATCGAAACCTTGCATCATAAGAATAGCAATTTTTCCCTATCCAGTTCAATGCATTGTCCGAAATGGAAAAAAATATATGTACTAAACGAGGAATGAATAATGTTAGTATAGAATAAATTTTATCCACAGATGGATATTTATGATTTAGCAAATTTGCTGAAGTTGCTCCAGTTCTGTGTGCGTAGCATGCGAGCGTGCTGTGCGCGCGAACGTTCTGTATGCGTGAGTGATGAACCCGAGTCGTTAGATGCAAGATTGCATCCACGATGATAGGCGCGTGTGCACACACACACACACACAGACAGACACAAATCACCACCACCACCATCACTAGGGGAGACTGTAACCCTTGCGTGGCTCGTCCCAATGTGGCGGATTGGAGAATGTCCGTTAGCAATTGAGGGTAGGAGGGAAATAAAATGCCTCCCGCCGACCAAACAGGATAAAAGAAGGAACCCCGAATAATAAACCACACATAGAGAGTCAAACAAGACTAACCTTACAGTGCAGGGACTCGGAACCCCTGTACAGGTGCCAGAGGGCAAGTAAACAGGTCCTGGGGCGTCGTAAACCAACGACCGCTATGCATTAGTGGTGGAGAGCTTGGCCACTGTTGCATTTAATACTACATGTAGGAACAAAATGGAAGATCTAAATAAAACAAAACCTCTAGCAGAGCAGATTAAAGGGAGAAATCAGGTAATGGCAAAACTAGGAGAATAAATCTCTGACTTGCTAAAATTTATAAAACCTAAGCCTAATATTCATGGTGACATTAAGAAGAAGATAAATACCATGAGCATCACATTCAACAGGTTAAAAAAATTGAGGAAAAGATAGACTCGGAGAAATCTGTACTACAGAAGACAAGATCAGCGCCCACACAGACGTTGCCAAAAGCTGGTGGTCCCTCTCAAAAAACCTTGATACTCTAAGGTGCAGCAGAAGCAAATAAGAGGAAGAAGATTTCTCCCCTAAAAGAGATTCGGAAGAAGAAAATGGCTAGAAGAAGGAAAAATGCAATAGAAGAAGGACTACCACTAAAACTGCTACCAGCCCAAATAGAGCCAGAGCAGAAAAACTGGGAAAAAGTTCGATCGAAGCGGCAGCGTAACCAGCCGACACTGGCGAGTGCCCTTATTATTCATATGAAAGGGCAACTCATCTATGCTGACATCCTGAAGAAGGTGAAATAGGATGATACTCCCAAGAAAGTAGGCTCGGGCGTAATGAATATACGCAGGACGGCGGTTGAGGACATGATCCTGGTCCTGAACATAGCCAGCGAAGAAATGACAACCCAATTCCGCATTGCAATCAAAAGTGCACTGGGCGAAGAAACTGACGTCAAGAGTAGAACTCAACAGACAACACTGAAGATCAGGGATCTCAATGAAATCATAACAAGGAAAGAAGTCTGGAATGCACTCCAACGAGTTGTCGGTGAGGACTATAGGCTCGAGATGGACATCATCAAGTCCGTCCGGAAAGGATTTTGTAGTCAAACTATCGTAGTGAGTCTATCTACTGAAGTAGATAAAAAGTGATTGAAATCATTAAGCTGCGCATTGACTAGGTTGTATGTCAATTGCAAAAGCTCTTGAAGCCGCTCAAGGGCTACAAGTGCTGAAAATATGAGCATTTGTATAGAATCTGATGTCGATAGTTTGAAATGCTACATTAAGTGCGGCAATGATAGTCACAAAGTGTAGAAGTGCACTCTAGAGGCTCACTGTGTCCTATAAAGTGGAACGGAAATTCTGGGAACCAGTAGCCACATTGCTGAAAGCAGCAAGTGTGCTGCTTACAAGAAAGCCTACGAGGGGTTTTTCAAAAAAACGAGAATGAGATTTCCACAGGTGAATCTCAACCACAGCGAGGTAGCGCAGGAAGTGTTCATGCAAACTGTACGAGAGGAGAGGGTAGATCTAGTAATCATCGCAGAGCCGTATTGACAATACTGGAAGGTGGATGCGACCGAAAAAACCGCCATCTGGTCTTGCGCCAAGTATTCCTTCCAGGAGGTCATGAAAAGACGAGCGACTGGCTTGTTTAGGTGATAATCAATGGCATATGCATGTACTGCTGTTAAACTCCACCGAGCTTGACATTGGAGAACTTCGAGGAAATCGTGGACTGACTAGTCAACGACGCCAAGGATCGGAATCCATATGTAGTCGAGAGCAATTTTAATGCTTATGCTGTGGACTGGGGAAGCAAATAAACAAACAAAAGGGGTCAAGCACTCCTGGAAGCATTGTCCGTGTTGAACCTAACTATGCTGAACAATGGCAAACACCAACACTCATCAGAGGAGGAGCAACGTCCACCATAGATCTCACCATTGTCAGTGATGGCTTTTCAAAGAGCGATACTCCCTAGCAGGCGACATTTACATGCTCAGTGATCATCGTGCTATCATGTAGACGAGACAACAGAGAGCTGATCGACCATCAAAAAGGAAATCAAAAGCCAGAGGCTGGAAAGCAAATATGTTTGA